AAAGAAAAAAAGAAAATTCCAAACATGGAAAGAAATAAAAAGAATAGTATAATAAATCCTCATATACCCATCAGCCAGCTTCAAACAATTATCAACTTGTAGCCAGTCAGGTTTCATCCATACTCCCCCAACCCCCAACGCTGCTACTGTTCTTCACCTCCCCGCCTTGGGTTATTTTGAGGCAAATGCCCAGATGGTTTATAATTTTATTCATAAATGTTTCATTTGTATCTAAAAAATGGGTCTCTCCTTTCTTTTCTTTTTAGAAAAACATAACCACAATGTCTTTATCACTTTATTCTCCTTTATTTTTTATATTATCAACTTTCTTTTTTTTTCAGATAGAGTTTCAGTCTTGTTGCCCAGGCTGGAGTGCAATGGCAATATCTTGGCTCACCGCAATCTCCGCCTCCCAAGTAGCTGGGATTACAGGCATGTGCCACCACACCCAGCTAATTTTGTATTTTTAGCAGAGACAGTGTTGGTCATGCTGGTCTCAAACTCCCGACCTCATGTGATCCACCCTCCTTGGCCTACCAAAGTGCTGGAATTGCAGGCATAAGCCACCTCGCCCAGCCAACTTTTTTTTTTTTTTGAGACAGAGTCTCATTCTGTCACCTAGGCTGGAGTGTAGTGGTGTGATCTCAGCTCACTGCAACCTCTGCCTCCTGGGTTGAAGTGATTATCCTGCCTCAGCCTCCAGAATAGCTGAGATTACAGGTGTGCATCACCATGCCCAGCTAACTTTTGTTTGTTTACTAGAGATGTGGTTTCACCCTGTTGGCCAGGCTGATCTTGAACTCCTGAGCTCAATGATCCACCCACCTTGGCCCCCGAAAGTGCTGGGATTACAGGCGTGAGCCACCATGCCCAGCCTATTTTATATTAGCAGCTTTAAATCAACAGGTGTATGATTTTTCTGCATGTAGTTTTAGTGAGTCTAAAAATATTTTTTCATTTAAGTTCTTAAATTTGGGTTATAATAAGAACTAATTAGGACCGGCTCAGTGGCTCATGCCTATAATCCCACCACTTTGGGAGGCCGAAGCCACTGGATCACTTGAGGTCAGGAGTTTGAGACCAGCCTGGCCAACATGGTGAAATACAAAAAAAATTAGCCAGGTATGGTAGTGCCTGCCTGTGATCCCAGTTACATGGGAGGCCGATACAGGAGAATCGCTTGAATCCAGGAGGTAGAGGTTGCAGTGAGCTGAGATCATGCCATTGCACTCTGGCCTGGGCGGCAGAGCAAGACTTCATCTCCACCCCACAAAAAAAGAACGGATTAAGCCAGGACCAGTGGCTCATGCCTATTATCCTAGCACTTTGGGAGGTCAAGGCAGGTGGGTCACTTGAGGTCAGGAGTTCAAGACCAGCCTGGCCAATATGGTGAAACCCCGTCTCTACTGAAAATACAAATATTTGCTGGGTGTGGTAGCAGACACCTGTAATCGAAGCTTCCTCAGGGGATGAGGCAGGAGAATCACTTGAGCCCAGGAGGCAGGGGTTGCAGTGAGCCGAGATCACACCACTCCAGTCCAGCCTGGGTGACAGAGCAAGACTCCATCTCAGAAAAAAAAAAAAAAAAAAAAACGAAATAAATGTTTTGTAGTTTACTATAAAAGCAGCACTGGTGCAATGACTCATGCCTGTAATCCCAGCACTTTGGGAGGCTGAAGTAAGAGGGTTGCTCAAACCCAGGAGTTCAAGACCAGCCTTGAGCAAGATAATGAGAACCTGTCTCTACATAAAATTTAAAAATTAGCCAGGCGTAGTTGTGCGTGCCTGTAGTCCCAGCTACTTGGGAGGCTGAGCTGAGAGGATCTGTTGAGCCTGGGAGATCAAGTCTCCTGTGAGCAATGATTGTGCCACTGTACTCCAGCTTGGGTACCAGAGTAAGGCCCTGTTTCAAAAGAAAAATAAAATTAAAGTTAAGAAATAGAAATAGCTTATCAATGATGACAAACCAGGATGTCAGAAGTATGCTTGTGATTACTTTTTAGTTTAAGGTTTTCATTAGCCTTCTTTTCTCCTAAAATTACTTTTCAGTCACTTTTACCTTCTGTGTCCTTGCATGTAAACATGTTTTTAAAACTCAATTTAGTGTTGTATATTGGGTAAGCCTAAAAGCAATTCCTTTATTTACTTGAGTAAATGGAAATTTAGTTTGATATTTGAAATAGGTTAGCCTGAGAAAGAAAATAAATATCAGTAGAATGACAGTTATACAAGTTAAACTGTAGCAAATAAGCTTAGTGCTCTAAACTGTTTCTTTTATTCAGCATCATTTGTAATGTACTAAAGTTATAGATACTGAATTGTATTTCATAAATTGAACTCATAAATGACTCCAATTAAACCAAGTATTTTAATAGGCTGATCCTATCAAAGATAAAAATAAAACTTAAATCACCTTACCTTTTTGTCTTCTACCCGTAATCCTTGATCAATCCAATCATTTGCTTTGTCTATTCTTTTTTTTTTTTTTGAGACGGAGTCTCACTCTGTCACCCAGGCTGGAGTGCAGTGGTGCAATCTTGGCTCACTGCAACCTCCACCTCCCGGGTTCAAGTGATTCTCCTGCCTCAGCCTTCCTATAGTAGCTAGGACTATAGGCGCACACCATCATGCCTGGCTAATTTTTTTTTTTTTTTTGTATTTTTAATAGAGACAGGGTTTCACCATGCTTGCCAGGCTGATCTGAAACCCCTGACCTTGTGATCTGCGCACCTCGGCCTCCCAAAGTGCTGGGCTTACAGGCTTACAGTCATGAGCCACTGCACCTGGCCGCTTTGTCTATTCTTACACAGAACCTATACAGAGAGAAAAACTGCATAACATTGAAGGTGTGTCCAGCCTAATCTGAGCTCTCAATAATTTTCATCAATTCATTTTGCATCTCTGTGCGTTCTGTGCTTCTTGCATTCTCTATTCATTCTCTGAAAATGCCCTTGCCTTCTACTTTACAAAAAAATGGACTAACAAGGGATCTCCAGCTTCCCTCTCTTGAAGTCCAATCCTGCCTTCTTTCCATCTCATCTCAGAAGTGGTGCTTTCTGCGTGTTGCAAACACTGTCTCTGTAGTCTGGGTTTCAAAATCCCCAACTCTGGAACGTCACTTTGTCAATTATTTCATCAATATCTCATGTCATAGGCCTCCCTCTTCAGTGCTTATAAACATTCTGAGTCTTTCCCATCCCAAACGCCCTTCTTTGGGTATGCATTCCTCACTAGTCCCTGGATGGCCACATTTCTTCTAGAATAACCTACATCTACCATCTTTATTGTTTTTCTTTTTTTTAACATTTAGGTTGGTGGGTACATGTGAAGGTTTGTTACATAGGTAAACTGGTGTTATGGGGTTGGGTTGTTGTACAGATTATTTGACTAGCTCAGGAGTAGAGCATTTGACACCTTTGTTGTTATTGTTCATTTGTTCTGCAACCCAACCTGGCTGCCATACACCACTCATTGAAACCACCCTTGTTAAAATCACTGGTGACTTCATGAATGTGAAATCCAGTAATTACATTTTTTTCTGCATTCATGTTGAAATATAAAGTATATAGTAATGTGCATTAAACTTATATGTGCAATTTAACAAATGGCTACCAAGTGAACACCCACACCACTTAGATAAAGAAATACATTTTCTTGGCCCAGATGCAGCCCGCACCACAGCTACATTCCTCACCCAGGGAGAGTCAATCACTATTGGATGGCAGTGCTAATTATTTACTTGCTTTGCTTTACAGTCATGGTTTGTTTTGTCATCACCAGGGTCAAGGTAATAAACATAATCCTCGCCCCAAAGGTTTCCTTCTGTCTCTTGTATCCTACTCACCTCTCCAGCCCCAACCAAACAACCACTGATCTGCTTTCTGTCACTACAGATTAGCCTGCATTTTCTAGACTATTTTATTAACGAAATCATATAGTCTGTATTTTTCTTTTGGTCTGGGTTCCTTCACTTAGCACAATTATTTGAAGATTCATTCATGCTGTAGCATGTATCAATAATTCATCAGTTTTTATTGCTGAGAAGTATAGCATTGTGTGGTTACATCACAATTTCTGTATCCTTCACTGGTTGATGGATATTAGGGTTGTTTCCAGTGTGGGGCTATTACCAATAAAGCTGTTGTGAACATTTGAAAATGTGTCTTTGGATATACATATTCATTTCTCTTGAGTAAATGCAGGTAAAAACATTTAGAAGCTGAGTAAGGACTGCAGTCTAGTTCACAGTAGTGCACCAATGTCAGTTTCCTGGTTTGGATGTTGATCTGTAGTCATGTAAGATGTTACCACTGAGGCAAACTGGACCAAGGGTGCACTGGACTGTAACATTTTTGCAACTTCCTGTGCATCTGTACTTTTTCAAAATTAAACATTTTTTTAAAAGTAATACATCTAAATTGTATAAAATTGAGAAAATGCAGATAAGCAAATAAGAAAAAAATTACCCATATTCACATTCTCTTGAGAGAATTACTAATAATATTTTGATATATATCCTTTCAATATGTTTGACAGGTAGATTTTTGTTTTTGTTATGGTTGTTTTTACCCATAGAATTATGTTTTGTAATAGGGACAGCAGATATATTTAGTCTTCTTACCTATTAATATTTTGGTATTATGGAGACAGTTTATTTTATGTTGTGTATTCATTCAAATTAAAGTATTTGCTTCTAATTTATTTTCTTTCTTTTCCTATCTTTTAGTTGATGACAGTGCAATTTTGGATTGCCAGTTCAGTGAATTTTATCATACGCCTCCTCCTGGTTTTGAAAAAATATTATTTGAACAGCAGATCTTCTGAATGTATTTGTTTTTGAAACTTGTATTTCTGCACTGTTCAAAAATGTTTATCATTTAATAAAGCTTTACCTGGCCTATAGATGAAAATATATTCTTAAAAATATGCTTGTTAATGCTGTCTAAGGAACCAGTATATTCATTATACCACCCTGAAGTTGTGATTTAAAATACTTTATGTTTTGTGAAATGAAAATAAACATTTGGGCAATTTATTTAATTCTTATTTAAATAAATAGAACTGGATTTAATGAACAGTATTACATGGCTATATAGATATATATATTTAAAGAAGACTCTTTCTTACATAATATATTTGTTTTGATAGAGATGTAGAGTTGGGTGGGTGTTTTTGTCACTCTGAAGTTTAGACCTCATTAAGTATTTTAGGTCTCTGTCCTTTTTTATATACAATATAACAAAGTGAAAGAAATTTATATTATTGGGAACTTCACTTTTGGCGATCTATTTACTGTATCATGTACCACTTTTCTTAAAACTTAAATTGCTTACTTTGTTGTGTAATGTCATTACTCTTGATTTTCTCTGTGAAAGGAGATAAACGTTTCAGTAATTGTAAGAGCATTTTATTGCCTCATGCTACGTTACCTCAATTTCAGAGTAAGTAGTGGTTGATTAGTAATGTAGTATACACTGGCAGACATATAGAGTAGTATATATAATGCTTTACATTTAAATGAGATTATTCTTTTAAGGATTTTTATTTGTATGTTTTCTGGAATAAATAGTTGTAATTAAGGAATGTACAATACTATATTAAACACATTCTTCCTATTTTGTTAATTACACACTAAATTCACATCACCTGTGATTATTTCAATTCAGAGATAAGTAAATCCTCTTCACCACCCTGAGTCTTTGTCCAGTTCCTAAGAATCACTGTCCTTTAGTTAATGCCCTGTGACCTGAACTAATCACTCTATACATCTTCAGATACATTGTCTGTTTTCAAATGAGCATGGCAAGGATGCATACATTTCCCTCATTTTATCAACAAGAAGCAGTACATTGTGCAGGAAAACATGGGTGTTAGAAAGAGATCCAAATTGTAGTTTTGCTGCTCATTCCATTTTCTTCTCAGGTGAGATCCCCAGTCTCTCCAAGTCTCAGATTCCCATTTATAAAAGGAACAATCATACTGACATAAGATTCTATGATTAAATAAGGTAATACATGTATTACATCTTAATAATCATAGGCACTTAATAAATGTAGTTTCCTTGATGCTAAAGCATCAGAGAATGTGGTTTTCATGATGCACCTCAGACTAGCAACATCAGCATCACTGGAATTTGTTAAAAATGGACACTCTCAGGCCCCACCCCAGACCCACCAAATCAGAAACTAGGGGATAGCACCCAGGAATCTGTGTTTGAAGTCCCTTCAGGTGAACCTGATACATACTAAAGTTTGAGAACTGCTGCTCAGTTGAGAATTATTTGCCTACTGTAAATTTTCTAAGGATTTATGATGGGCTATTTTTGACCCATAGGCTCAGAGAATCCTGCAAAATACTTTTTAAATGTTTATTTGGCAGACAAAAATGTGACAATATGCTTTGAAAACATATATATACTTAAGTAACATATTTATATAAATCCCAAATTTTACCTCTGAAGGTATATGAAATTGAGCTATGTATTATGCATTTTGTCTGGCTTTCTATCATAATTTCAATTTGTAAAGAATGTGCTTACTTGGGAAAGCAAATTAAAGTGACTACTGTTTGTTATCTTAATGATGTTATCTATCTCTTATTTAAAGCCAACCTTTTGAAAATCATATTCTTTCTGCCTCTAATTATACACCAGAGACATAGTACTAGAAATGATACTTAAGTTTATGTCCATGACAACAGTTTGGTGAAATCTAGGTGTGTTTTTAGTCTAGTCATGAGAAATCAAACTCAGAGGGGCATCCAATGAAACACTTGATGGTATGCCGGGGTCTGACCCACAGACCCAGGCTTGCACAACAGATAAATCATGTACACTGACCCAAATATTTTGCCTGTCAGTCTGGCTAAGGGTTCAGGCCACTCACCAATACTGAGAAGGGTCCCATAAAGAGTCAGCAGCCACAGTCCTGACCAGCCAGCAACGTTCACATTTATTTAGTACAGATTAAATGACAAAGGTCTTGAGTAAACACCACTAGAGGGTCATTGACATTGTCAATCTCCCCAGTGGAGAGCAGTCATGCACCCTCAATAATCAAAAGTCTTAAGACCACATGAGTAAACAAGCTATTTAGATAAACTCTTCCACATTCCTATGTATCTACACCCAAAGCTTTTAAGAGAGTTCAGTTGCCTTCAGCCAAACCTTTTACTGAAGCTATGCAAACCACCCTCCTCCCCTTCCCCGACCTTCCAAGGTTTGTGACTATTTCCTATAACTGTCTTCCTATAACTATAATTTTTCCCCTAAAATTTTTACCACCACCCTGACTGAACTCCCAGAATGTTACTCCTTAAAACTTTCAGGGTCATCAAAACATGGAAAGCCAGGAAAACTGCCACACCCAGGAAGAGCTTAAGAGGACATGACAAGTTAAGTATAATGTATCTGGATGGGATGATGGAGCAGGAAAAGAACATTAGGTGAAGAAATCTGAATAAGCCATGAACTTTAGTTAATAATGTATCATTATATCATTCATGAATTGTAACAAATGAACCATACTAACAGACATTAATAACAGGAGAAACTAGGAGAAGATATATGTGGGAACTCTATGCTGTCTTGTCTTTTTCTATAAATACAAACTGTTCTGAAAAATAAAGTTTTAGCTGAGCACGGTGGCTGGCTCATGTCTGTAATCCCAGCACTTTGGCAGGCCAAGGTGGGTGAATCACCTAAGGTCAGGAGTTCAAGATCAACCTGACCAACATGGCAAAACCTCATCTCTACTGAAAAATACAAAAATTATCCAGACCTGGTAGCACGTGCCTGTAATCCCAGCTGCTCAGTAGGCTGAGGCATGAGAATCACTTGAACCCAGGAGGCAGAAGTTGTAATGAACTGAGATTGTGCCACTGCACTCCAGCCTGGGTGACAGAGTGAGACTCTGTCTCAAAAAATAAATAAGTAAAGTCTATTTTTATAAGTACATTGACTAGGAGAACTTTTTAAATAAAGCCGTTTATTAAGCCAAAAGAATGATATCAGTACAGTATAATACCTATACCTTAAATATACAATAATAACTAAATATAAATGTAGTTAGGACATAAAACATACTTGTATTTTAACATGCAAAGACTTGCATTTGTTCCTGGCTGAAGGTGGCATTGTTCACTGTCTTAATTCTGTTTATTGCAAAAGTCCATTTGTCCATACTAGTGTAGCTTTTCACACTCTGAAAATCAATGTTTTATTTTCCATGTAATTTCAGTGATATAAACTTTGCAAGATATGTTAAATATCTGAAATGATGAAAGGTTTATGAACAATCAGTTTACATATTAAAACCCAGAAAAAGATTTTTTTGTTGTTGTTGGAGTCTTGCTCTGTCCCGCACGCTGGAGTGCAGTGACACCATCTTGGCTTACTACAACCTCCACGCTCAGCCTACACCGCATTTTAAGAAAGACACTGATTAACCAGTGAAGGCTATGTGGCTGCTGATGGTCTGCTTAATTAATCTATGAATGAATGAATAAATAATCCTTGAGGAAACTGAAAATGTTGGAAGAAAACAAGCAATCCACTGGGTAATTGAAGCCAAAATGACTTGCAAAATGCTATTTATTATAGGAATAAGAGTGAAAAAAATGTTCAAAGAAATCTATAGACTAATGTGTGTGCTTCTTGTAAATGTACCTCAGGAAAGACAGTTATAGATGTGTTCAGATATCTGATAGCTCATGGCTTGAAAAAAATAAATAGATTTATTCTCTATTGCTCTGGAGGCTGAGAATTATTGAAATGTACCAGGAAGCAGTTTTCAGCTTAAGATGGTAAATAACTTTGCCATCAGTTCACTGCTTAAATTGTTGCCTTGCAACATAATGCAAACTTCTGGTCCCTTGAATTGTTCTAACAGGCTGTTTTTAAAAATGTAGGTTTTGGTATTATTCAGGTAAGGAGTCTTATTCCATTTGGGGCTGCTAGTACAGAATACCACAGACTAGGTAATATATGATAATGGAAGTTTGTATCTCATATGTCTGGAGGCTGAGAAGTTCAAGATAAAGATGCCAGCATCTGGTGAGGGCCTTCCTGCTGTGTCATCCCATGGTGGAAGGCATCATCACATGGTACAAGAGCAAAGAGAAAGCAAGATGGGGCAAATCCACTCCCAACGTAACAACATTCATCTGTTTATGAGGGCCATGATCCCATGACCCAAACACCTTCCATTAGGCTCCACCTCCCAACATTACCATAAGGGATCAAGTTTCCAGCACATGAACTTTGAGGAACACATTCAAACTATAGCTTATGTTAAAGCTAACAGATCAGGAGATGACTGTCCTTGAAAAAATAGTTTGGAACTCATAGTTCCCAACAGTAGGGGCATGCCACACCATGCAGAGTCACAAGCAGGCACTGGGATCCATCAAGAGGCAGAGAGGCGAAAAGAAAGCATGACCATGAGTCTTTGTTGTGGTCTCCACAGACAAGGCAGGCTAAGCCAATTCAGGATTCACTTGCTTAATTAATTCCATGGGCTCTGGGACATAGTGGCTGTGTCCCTAGTTGTCTGGTACCTGGCCTTGGGGTGACCAGTATAGGAATATTGGCCTGGAATCTAAGAGCCTATATTATTTATGTGACTGCTCTTCATTAGCACAAATAAACAGCAGTTAATTATTCACCCACCTTTATCCCTGGGTTACACGCAGACAAGGAGGTGTAGCCTAAGGGCAGACAGTGAGAAAACATTTGATTTTTTGTGTTTGTGTTCTATTCTTAAAATTAGATTGGACTATGATACATCTAGGCTCTGAAAATGTACAATTCCTGAAACTGATGAAGTTTACTACAATCTATCTTTTGTAGTGGCACTCTTGAATTTTTTTCTAAGCTGTTTCTCCAACTATATTGATATTTAGAAATGGTTTGTTATGGCCGGGCACCGTGGCTCACCCCTGTAATCACAGCACTTTCGGAGGCTGAGGTGAGCGGATCATGAGGTCAGGAGATTGAGACCATCCTGGCCAACATGGTGAACTCCAGTCTGGTGACAGAGTGAGACTCTGTCAAAAAAAAAAAGAAAAGAAAAGCCTCGTTACTTGGATTCAACAAATTCAGACTTTATGAGATTCAATCTCTGAAATTCCTTTTGATCTTTTTATTTTTGAAGTACACTTTAAAACAAACATTATATAAATTAGGTTAGGGGGAAAATGTGGAAACCCAACACAAAAACAATTTTCCAACATTTTAGAAGCATATGTCTTCCTATAGACAACTGTCATGCTAATTATAAAAGTGTTCCTGCCTATTTGATAGGGATCTTGGAAAACAAGTTTGACATATTAATTGGCCTAATTTAATTATTTCAAACCTTTTCTCAGGGAACAGTGGTAGAAACTGCATAACCTTTTTTTTTTGAGACAGAGTCTTATTCTGTTGCCCAGGCTGGAGTGCAGTGGCACGACCTCAGCTCACTGCAACCTCTGCCTCCCGGGTTCAAGAGATTCTCCTGTCTCAGCCTCCCAATTAGATGGGATTACAGGCACCTGCCACCATGTCAGGTATTTCAGGACAGCCAGGCGGAGGTGTACTTCCGCAGAGAAACTAAGAGTGTCTGTGCTGAGCTCTGGCGCCACCAGGGGGCGCGCGAACCCATCCCTGACCAACTTCCTCTGAGGTGCCGGAAGCAGCGAGGATTCGACTTTCTCAGGGCAGCGCGAGGGTCGTGTCAACTAAGTGTTGTTCATTGGTGAGTAAAAAGCTTCCTTTCCACGGCCCTGAGTGCAGAGAAGAGATTCTTTAGAGTACTCAGCAAAGGAAGAAATTCATCTAGAAAAATTAAATCCCCAAATCCCATCGTTATGACTACACTCTGATATCATTGTCAACGTCCCAGACACAGTGGCTGCTAAGATGTATTCTCACAGTGGCCTCTAATATAATAATCACACAGCGCCCTAACACCAATATAATATCCACACCATACCCTAACGCTAATCTAGTATCCACACTGTTGCTTCTAATACTAATGTAATACTAGCCACACGGTGCCCTGATGCTAATGTAATATCTGCACTGTTCTCCAACACCAATATAATATGTACACAATGCCCTAACACTAATATCCACACCGTGCTGTAACACTGATGTAGCCACACAGTAGCCTCTAATACTAATAAATATAATAATATCTACTAAGTGGAGTCTGTTGACATTGAGGCTTTTATAAGGGTTCACAGCTTTGGATGAAGCGTATCCTCTATAGTAGATTTTGATGATGTTTCTGCTTTTCTGGCATAGTATTGATATGGATGTTTTAAAGAGTAATTTATTTTTTAATAATGTCATACTTCTAGGAAACTTCCAGTAGCAGTGCAAAATATAACCTGTTTCTTTTCTTAGAGTCCCCAGCAGTTATTGCTGTACCAGATTTGCAGGTTCGCACAAAATACTCCTGTATATTTTACCCAAAGCATGGAAACTCTGCTAGGTTACCACCACATAACTCCTAGATCAGGAAATCGGCATGGTTCCTACGTGATAATTCAGTTCACAAACTCATTTCACTTTTACCTCCTGCCCCACCTGGGAATAT